GGCAGCCCAGCTCCAGGTTGAGCTGTTGTTCAGCATCTTAGCTGTAGAGGGCAGTGTCCCTGACCCTCATATGTGGGATCCGAACCAGGGCCCTCTGGCGTCCCAAGCCAACTCTTAACCAACACACCACTCAACCGGCCCCTGTAATTCTTTATTAACAACATTTTTATGGACACCAGTTAAATCCAAAATTTTAGTAGTTTTTATTATTATGTGTTTCTTGTTTCTAACATATGTATCTTTACCTCAGTTTATATATTCTTATTTCATTTTTAGTAATACTATATATTTACTGATGAGATGTAAATCCTTATGTCATATATTTTATAATGTAATTAGGGAAGGATATAATGAGTATTCAGTGCCAAATGATGTAAGATGTCAATGAAGTATATATAGCATATATAGCAATGAAGCATATATTTTAAGTCACTACCTTTTAAAAATATATTCAAGTTAGGGTAAAGCCAGCATTTTGTTGCACTAGGAGAGAGCTTGTAAGGCTTAATGTCCTTAACATTTTAGTATCCAAGTGGGTACTCATAATTTAGTACCCACTTGGATACTAAAAATACCCAGTTGGTGTTTTTCATTGCTTATCTTAAGTAACACTTTTTTATTGAGAACAGCTAAAATCACTACAAAAAAAAAAAAGCAAAAAAAAGCTGTGGGTTTGTAATCCTTAAGGACATGTTTATAATTGATGATGGAATATCTGTTTTGTAAAATTCATGTGTCTGTATGAGTAATATTAAACTTATTCAACATGAATTCAGCGGTCCATAGAGTGAATAAAAATTTTGAAGGCACATTAATTGTAAAGCAATGAGGTAACATTTCTCAAGACTTGGCAGTATAATCTTACTTAGGATGGAACCGATTTCATATTTTTGTGAAATCTTTTTGTGTTTTTTTAGCAATCCACATCACATTAAACTGCCTGCCAGAGTTTCTGTCTTGCTGATTTTGCTGTTGCGTTGGTGACAGCAGTATGGCAACAGCAGACTCTTGAACTAGAGACAGGCTAGGATTATTAGTATTCACATCGCATTGAAGTGAAAGCAGCTTGACCTGGAATAAAAAATGATTGACTTGTTTTGTAGCAGATAATTTAGACTTTTAATAAAGTAACCCAAATGTAGAAAGCTATGTAGCAATTTCAGTTTAGATTATTGATTATGTCATTTTTTTTCGAAAGATCAAAAGTGGTTATTTCAGTAACCTAAGTATTTTAGACAATTACAGAATAAGTAACATATTTAGTTTCCCCAAATTTAAGATTATAATAAAACTGTGTACCTTTGCATATCATTTCTTCATCCCTGTTTATTGTTTGGAATGGATACAAAATAATGGAAGTTGTTGGAGAGTGAAATAATTTCCAACTATGTAAGGCAAGAATACAGAAAAGGTTTGGAAGGAGGGTTGGGAAAGCATATATTTTTACTGTTTCCCTTTTCTCATGTAAATATTATGTAAGAGAGATCTGAAATTGTTTAGGAAGACTGGTGAGATGTGACTAGAAGTTCTTTCACACACATTTTTTTTCTAGGTTTATGCCTGTGCAGCTCACCCTGCCCCTCCAAATGAATTTGCTAATTGATTAAAATTCAGATGAATATTATGTTTTAAAAATAAAATAGGTTCTCATGACTGTATTTATCTTACAAATCATTTAACTTGGAATCTGATATGTTTTCCTATCAAAACATGTTTCCTACAAAAGTGTTACGTGGTTAGAAATTTTATAACGTGTGGCTATTAAAGTAAATCTTGATAATTTAGATAATTTTCTTCTGCTTAGGTAACTTTGAAACTTTTTAGTTTTATATCTAACCCTTTAGACTTTTCTGGAAGCATTGTTGAATATGCATAGAATTGTTCATTAAAATATATGGTTTAACTTCAAGCACAAATGAGAGTACTCAAGTTCTATGCTATATCAACTTCTTTGAGATTAAAGCAAGGCTTTTCTTTATATGGTAACATCTGCTTTATACTTTTCATTGAACATATTTGAAAGCAATGGATATTGTGGAGTAGAAATAAAAAGGAATGAATATATTATACTTTCTACTGCTTTTTTAGTTCTGAGAATTGTGTAGTTTATGGAATATTTTTGAAATACATTTCCCTTCCAATATTATGTAGTTTATTAATTTACTGTAAAGCAGATAGTTACTTGTCAACTTTTAAGACTTACAATGTTCCAGGCACTGTGTAAGTGCTTTAAATATATTGTGACTTAATTCCTACAACAATCCTATTATAAGGAGGAAACCAGGATTTAGAGCTAGTAATCTTTCTTTAGGTTAGTCAGATAAATGATGGAGCTGAAATCAAACCCATTTGGCTTGATGCTGAAGACTTCTTGCTAATAGGATGTGGGTGAAACAAGCCATTATATTCGCAATTGTGAACTTGATCTCAACTATAAAGTTGACTTTAAGATTCCTTTATATTGTATTAGTTCTGCTCTAATAGTTTCACTGTTTTTGAATATTTACTAGAGTATTGTGATGGAATGGAATGTGTGGCTGACTCATAACCACCTAGTAGTTTAGCATGTTAGTGGTTTTTCTAGTTAGTTAATTATATAGATGATCATTTGAAATTTTGCTTAGTGTATATGCCTTGATATTAAAGTATTTTGTAACAGAACCTAAGTATATTGAGATAACTTGAAATTAAAATTAAAAAAAACAAATTTTCTGATTTGATAAGCAGTATAGATCAAGGATATTAAAGGTAGAAAATATTTTGTCAACTCGGGATATTGACAGGTTTGTTCTTTGTTTTTCTGAAATAAATATTCAGAAAAATCCTTAAACTTGATTTATTCATTCTTAATTTTACTTCAATTTAATTGGAAATATGCTCTCTCTCTGTTTCTCAGTAAATTATGTTCTTTTATTCTTAAACCATCATTGTTCTTCATTGTAATATATTGTAACTATGGCTGAAAGGATTCATTGGTAAGCTGAGCAACAAGATGGCTGCCAAAACCAGCTTCCTTCAGATGTCTCTAGGTTGGAAAACATAAAAGATCTCAGTTGGCCTGGCTTAGGTCATATGGTCTCTCTTGTACCATTATCTGTGGAACGATATAATGTGATTGGCCCAACTGTGATTACATGTTTATGCCTGAGGTCAGGATGTCTTCTATGACCAAAAAAATGAAGAGAAGGGTAACTACCATTACCCATTTATTACTACATATTATGTGGCTATTTTTTGCCAACATTTTGGAGTTTGGCCTCAGTAATAATTAACAATTAGCTCACTGACTCTTGTGGATAATCTGAGAATCATAGAGTAGCAGGGCCTTGCCTTCTTTCCAGTAACACTTAGAGACTACATTATTCTTCCTCAGTTCAATGGAAGAAATGGCTCCATAAATAAGTAATATTGTGTGCTAATTTGTGTGTGTGTGTGTGTGTGTGTGTGTGTGTATGTAATAAAGAATTAACTATTATTAAGTGATAAAGACTTCAAAGTAATACATTTATTGTCTAATTTATCTTAATCATTATTTCTTTACCTTAGATGAAGGTCGCTATTATAATCATTTTAAATATCCATTGATTTATAAGACAAACATCTTAATGGCTTATTCAGCTAGTCACAGTTCAATCCCAAACCTGAATTTTGACGTTCTCATGCCTAAGACCATTGTGCATTTCCCCAAATGACATGCCTTGCTTTTTATAATAGTTTAAGTCACATGTTAACTATTTCATTGTTTAATCAATAGGTATTTATTGAGTACTTGCTGTATATATATACAAAAATACACTGCATAATTCTTTTGTAGTGTATTATTCAATATAGTAGATCTCTCTTACAGAGGGCTGATTTTCTTGCAGGCAAGGAGTTCAGTTGCTGGTAGTATTTATAGAAGGATCTTTATTTTTGTATATGAGATCTGCCAATTAAGCTTGCGAACTCATCCTAGAAAAGGTGCTACGTACCTCATTGCTGAATATCACTACGGTCACCTTCCAAGTACTCCCCTTGGGAAACTATGCATCGACGTCAGTGCCTAATCCACCCTTCAAAGCAATTTTGGAACTGTTTTTCTGGAATGGCCATCAGAGCTGTCATCATATTACCCTTGATATCCTGCATGTCCTCCAAATGTCTTCCTTTCAATATTTGCTTTATCTTTGGGTAAAGGAAGAAGTCATTGGGGGCCAGCTCATGTGAGTAGGGAGGGTGTTTCAATCGTTATTTGTTTACTGGCTAAAAATTCCCTGACAGTGCCGTGTTAGCTGGTGCATTGTTGTGATGCATGAGCCATGAATTGTTGGCAAAAAGTTCAGGTCGTCTAACTTTTTCAAGCAGCCTTTTCAGCACTTGCAAATAGTAAACTTGGTTAACTGTTTGTCCAGTTTGTACAAATTCATAATGAATAATCCTTCTGATATCAAAAAAAGTTAGCAACATCATTGCAACAAGTTCGTGAACTTAATTGTCAGACCTCGTATATCATATCTTAATATCCTTATATTTATCTCTGTATTTATAATTGTATGCACATATTAGATATAAGTAAAGTATTTATAATATGGGAAAAGCTAAATAAAATGTTTAAATTAGAACTTGGTAAGAAAGATGGTGCTTTAATAACTGGGATTTTTTGTTAGTAAACATTTACTTTTTTTTTTTACAGAAATGATATAAGCTTATTTTAGAAAGTTTAAAAAATAAACATAAGAACCTTAGGAAAAAGAAGAAAATAAACAACATATAATCTCAAAAATAAATGATAAGAATTTTGATATCTTTTTTTCAGTTTTCTTGCAGATATATATCCATATATGTTTACATAAACATATTCCCCCTCCTTTCACAATGAGAATTATGCTATGTATTTTGATATCAGTATTTTTCATGATAGACTTTTGAACATTTAGGTTATTGTATTTTAGTTTTTCCTTCACTGTGAACAGCCTTGCACAGCATATCCTTATGTCTTATCCAGGATTACATTCATGACCCCTTTATATAAATTTCTACAACTGAAATTTCTTGATTTAGGAGTATGCAGATTGTTCAGGAGCAGATAAACATACACTATGACAAACTGAAGATTATTAGTGCAGGAGGCTGATCTGGTTAGTAATGACTAATTCAAACCTCACAATTGTATTTCAGCTAGTTAAATAAATCTGTTTTATTTATAATGAGATATAAACAGAGATTAATCCTTAGCACTGCCTCTAAAAATTTTAGCACTTTTTCTATGCACCCCACCCACAACTTACAAGTGTTCTCTGTAGATGTTATTGGAATAATCATTTCTCATATTGATAAAAGTAGGTAATTTGAAGACAGAATGCAAATTTTGTGATTGGAAATTCAAGGACTGTGTTTTTCCAGAACCACAAACTTAGAAAAAGCAAAAAAAGCAGAAGCAAAAGCAAGATAACATCTGTTATTCTTTTCAGGCTGATCAGTTGATGTTCGCTTTACATTTTGTTCGAGGCATGCATCCTGAACTTTTCCAAGAAAATGTAAGTGGAGAAATGTAAAGGAGAAAAATGTTAGAGTTATATAGAAATGTGGTAATTTGGGTGGATTTATGGTTAGATTAGAAATTACTTTAGGCTAGAAATTATATATTAACCTATTAAATTTTTACTTAGTTAGAAATTCTGATTTCCAGTTCTACTCCCCTCTGGGTGTGCCCAATATTCTGAAGTGCTAATAAGGCAGAAAAAGAAATGTAGGTAACTTACCCAAACTGCCTAGATTTTTCTGAAGCCAAGTCCATGTACTCAGGACACCAGAAGAGTCAGCCTTCTTTTATATCCCTGGTCTAAACAGTGGAACTGATAAATATAAAATATGAAACAATATGGGCACAACTGCATTATTACCACCTTCACTGACTTACGCAGAGTCAGCAGGTTAAGCGAGAGGGTGGGCAATTCTCAGAAGCTTCCTTGAATCTGTAGGTTATGTTAATCTTTTAATGTATAATTTATCTCCTTTGTCTATGACTTCATTTCTGGGCTGCCATATATCCCCCTCTCAACTTTGAAAAGAACCACCTTTCAGCCAAAACTAACTAATTCATCTTTGGTGTGCTTTTAATATTTAAAAAAAAATATTTATGTGATTTTTCTTATTTTTATTCTGTTATCATAAAGTGAGAGTCCATTAGTTAGGGTGGGAGGGAATATTTATAGGGACAGTGCAACTTTGACCTAGTAACCTTTAACTCTACTTGATCAGATTTTAAATATGTTCTGGGTTCCCGTCATTTGAGTAGTTAAAAGAATGTAGACCATTCCACATGCCTGTGTTAGCTCTTCATTTCTCCCTACTTCCACATGCTCTGGCTGACTTGTATAGTTTCTGTTGAATTTATTAACTTGACCACTTTTATTTCTGCTATTAACTATGATGCCTTACCCTCCTCCTGTATAATGTTTTTCACTATGATCAATATGTTCCACACTGTATAAGACTTAAAATGACCTGTTTTTCCCTCCTGGAGTATAAATCAATTATCATTGGGAAAGGAGAGCATTTTTCTTTGACTTACGTATAGTATAATAATCACTCATATTTTATTTATTTGTGATTGTTTAAGTATGAAGTGTGAAGGGTCAGTGTGGGTGTAGGCAGGAGGTATGTTGCTTTGGTAATTTTTCCATATTGCCATCACATTTTAATATGTTTTTGCTTTATTTACTGACCAATGTGCAATCAATTATAATATTGTTATTACCTGATTGGGGAATCCAGGGTGAAGACATAGATTTTCTTAGAGCACTAGATTTCGTAACAGTTGATTAATTTTGATTCTGTGGATTAAAAAAAATAATAATGGCAGTCTTCTCCCAATCTGTTGGAAAAGATAAGTTAATGGAAGTACATAACACAATTGTACATAACAACTTTTAAACTTTTGGTACACCTTATTGCTTATCTATTACTGAGGAATAGCATATAATAGGAAAAATTAATAGGTAGTGACAAATGCTAATTGAACATGACATTTACATTTTTAGATGTTAAGACTTATATATGTATATATATATATAGATAGATATACTTACATAAATATATATATATAATGTAGTTTTTTGTTTTAATAAAATTATTCTTAGTAGATTTCACATTAATGTTTTACGTTGGTACATGAATTCAAAATGTTAATGTACTAGAAGTAGGAAGTTGTAAAAGGAGTTGTGGGTTTTGTTTGTGTTTTTTTTTAACGTGTCCTTAGAAAGCTGAATTGTAAGTCATCTTATAGGGACGGATATAGGGATATTAAGAAAATTTTAACTGCTTAGTATTTTTATGTTGTGTTCCTCATATTTTTATTCAATAGGAATGGGATACATTTACAGGTGTGGTTGTTGGAGACATGTTGAGGAAAGCTGTAAGTAAAAATAACAAAGTTATTCTACTCTTAGGGAAAATAGTTCTGGCTTAGACTTCATGAAATATAATTTGCTTCAGAGGAGTTTTAAATTATTGTTGAAATTATACTTTAATTAGAGGAGTATGTCCTTGTTTCTATTGCCCTTTTATAAAATGGACCTAAATATAATTTTTGTCCTTGAAGACATATTTTTTTGAGAATATATTACTTAAATAGTAAGAAATTAATACAGTTTCTTTTTTTTCAGTATATATATTTTGTTCCAAGAACACTTTTATAATGCTAAAAAAATCAAATCTTGTATTATAGCTAGGAAAACTTTCTTATGTAACTGAGTTTAAAAATTACTTTTTAACACTTTTGATAACTATTCAAATTTAGCTTTTTGTGTAGTAATTTTCTGTTTAAACATGTAATGGATAATATTATTTTTCAAAGGAGCATACCCAAACTGTAATGCAAAACTCAGACTGTGTCTGAAATGCAAGGTGTAACTAAAGATAATATAATTTCATGGCAGCGTCTTATTACATTTGAGGTTTTCTGAAGTTTTACAGAAGATTAAGCACAATGAAAATGAATGCAACATTTGTCTAAATGGTTATATCTTATGTTATGCAGAATTTTATATTGACTTGTACACTCCATAAAAATGAAGAAATACTACATAGAATGAACTTTTTTTTTTTTTTGAAAAATAGTGTTCATAAAATTAGCTAGTCAGTTGTTGAATTTTTTTTAAGTTGGAATTTTCCCAACTATACCAAGGACCATAATTGCTCTCTTAAAGGACTCTCAACAAAGAATACGTGATCAGCTTCCGTCTTGGATAGACCAGGAAAGAAGCTGGGCGGTGGCCACATTAAAGGTACGCCTTTCCTGCCATGAGGGTATCGCCGTTTTTTCTGTATCGTGTTATTTCTGTTTATGTTTTTTATGTCCTACTTATTCATACTCAGTGTTGATGTTTCTGTGAATATGTAACATCTCTGGGTGAAAAGATATCAAAGAACTATTCCGATTAATCCTTTAGTCAATTATTAATTAGTTACATTTTTCATTCAACATACACATCTTGAGTCTGTACATTGCACAAGATTCTGTGCTGTGTACTCATAGGGAATATAAAGGTAATAAAAGGCTCTCTAACATTATAGGTGGAAGCCTTATATATGTATACAATAATTCAGGATCGGTAATGTGGTACAGTGTGATACTTACGTTGAAAAGAGTTTCAAATTTTCATATTTCCTTCTAGTCATCTTTTAAATCTCTCTCATACTCAGCTATTTTTCAGGCTTACAATCACTCTCTTAGTTTTGGCTCTTGTTATTTAACTGGATTTAGAAAGTAGCCCCTGCTGCTAATCTCAGATCTCTCCATTTTATTATATCCTTTATGTTTTTTGCTATATACATATTTTTTAAGATTTTATTGGGGAATTGGGGGAGAGGAACAGTGTTGGGGAATTGGGGAAGGGGAACAGACAAGTTGCTGTCCTTTTGTTCTTCAGTCTAG